CTTCCCTGGCACTGAGGTTAGACTGACAGGTTTGTAGTTCCCTGGGCTTTCCTTCCAGCCCTTCTTGTAGATGGGTGTCACATTTGCAAGCCTCCAGTTGACTGGGACCTTCCCAGTCAGCCAGGACTGCTGATAAATGATGGAAAGTGGCTTTGCAAGCACTTCTGCCAGCTCCCTCAAGACCCTGGGGTGGATCCCATCTGGCCCCACAGACCTGTGTATGTCTAAGTGGTATAGCAGGTCAGTATCCACCTCTTCATGGATTATGGGGGCTTCACAGTGCTTACCATCCCTGTCTTCCCACTCAGGGGACTGGGTACCCAGAGTACTGCTGGTTTTCCTACTAAAGACTGAGGCAAATAAGGCAATAAGTACCTCAGTCTTTTCCTCATCCCTGGTCACTATGCTTCCCCCCACATCTACCAGAGGGGGGAGACTCTCCTTAGTTCTTTTGTTGCCAATGTATTTATAGAAAACCTTTTTATTGTCTTTAACAGTACTAGCTAGATTACGTTCCAGCAGCGCTTTAACCCTTCTAATTTTCTCCCTGCACAGCCTCACCTGTGTGATCTGAGGAGGGTGGCAAGGGAGAGTTGCAGCTTTGCAAGGGGAATGAGGGGTTGGAGCAACAAAAATACCTCCTGCATTAATCTTTTCTTTGGCCCTTTGAGTGGGACCAGTAGAAAGCAGGGATTCAAGAGCTTGGCGAGAGGGGAGCAGGGCTCGTGCATGGGCATCATGGGGTGCAGATGATGTACTCAGCAGCATGCCATAATTTATGATTTATTCTATTTTGTTCCTAATGGGTTACAATCTCTGTGTTGCCCCATCTGAGCCTGCTATCAGCGGCTCTGCTGGGTCCAGTTACATCACGCTAGGGCATATCTTGCTGTCACCACACTCAAGGACGATCCTGGTTGCCTCTGCAGGTCCTCATAGGAAGGTGAAATCCTTTTGCTTTGGCTACTCAACAAAAATCTCACATTTTTCGTTCAAAAAACCACACCTCCTCCAGAGTGAATCCTCCCACAAAGACCAGACCCCCCCTCAAAAGGCAGCTGCATGTCCCCATCCACGTGGGTGCTGCTGCTGGAGACCCCAAAAGCAGGCACCAGGGCTGGGAGCAGGAGCTGGTACTGGGGCAGGAGTGGGGGCAGGTTAAGGCTGCTGGGGGGGCTGGCTCGGAGGCCTGATGTCGGGTCTCTGGATCCTTATCTGTAAAGGTGGGACAGGGACATGTGCTGTCATATGTGATGAGCTCAGACAGCAGCACAGACCCCAACGGCAGCCACAGCATCCCTGATGCTGTGGGATGAGGCATGGCTCCTGAGCGTCTTTGAGGCATGGGGTCAAGATATTGGTCCCCAGCCCATGGTTCCCCCACTCCAATCCCCCTGCTATGGGGACAATAAGCCCCAGGCACACCTGAACTGATGGGTCGATGGCCTGGAGCTGTGGTTTCCAATGCCTTTCGGATGAGTGGGAGCGGAGGGTCTCTGTCCTCTCTCCTGCCATTGTCAAGGCTGTATCAGGGAAAATGAGCAGAGCTCAAAGAAAACCCAAATGGAACAGAGCCAGGAGAGAGGTTTTTTGCAGGGATGCACTCACAGGAGAAGGGCCGTGGCCTCCAGAAGTTCTCCTTGGCCCTAGAATGGAGCAGAAAGGGGATGAGATCTCCTCCTCCTGCTCAGGAGGAGAAGACAAGGAGGTGCTAGCACTTCCACCCCAGCCTTGCACCTCCTCAGCCATCTGCTGACTCCTTGCTGTGCAGGACAACAAAGTCCCATCCTGCAACCACCTTTTTCCTGCTTCAGATCAAGTCTTTCCAGACCCACGTGAATTGCAGTGGAAATCATCTGGGTGTTATTCAAATTAAAATGAAATAGAAAACCCTATCTGTAACCAAGCACTGGATGGAAGAAATGCAAATATTCCCTGACATGGAGGAAAAAGGGAAGCTAAAGTTCAACCTGCTGCTATTATCACACCCCTTGAGCAGCAGATGACTGGGAAAGGGGCTGGAAGACGCTAAAATATCACCCAACACAGCCCTTTCCCTAAGGTAGGCAACCTCTGCCTGGGCCAGATGGGCCGCACCTCCAGTGGACATCCCAGAGATGGATTTTCCACCAGTTTTTCAGGCTTTTCCTGAAACCCAACCTCTGCCAAACACCTAGCACTTGTGGCTTCATCCCACATCTTACCCCCGGTGCCGGCGGCGGTGCTGGCGGCAGAGATGCAAGGCCAGGCAGGCGATGGCGAGCAGGAGGCAGAGCAGGGCCAGGGATCCCAGCAAGATGCCAAGGAAGGCGGCGAGGCTGATGGCCAGCTGCTCGCACCGTGGGCCAGATGGGGAGAAGATGGAGAAGGGGAGGCAGCTGTGGAAAGGGAGGGGGGAGTGGTGATGCCGTGGGGAGAAGTGGCCGTGCCGAGTGGCCTCGTCCATCCCCGGCGCCACTGCTACCTGCATGTGGGTCCCTCAGGCAGGTGCTGGCATTGGCCGCTGTGCTGGCAGTAGCCTGCCTTGCAAGGGGAGATGCAGACGAAGCCGACAGTCGCCACGTAGTGGAGCTGGTAGCCTTTGTAGCCATACAGATCGCAGGGGAAATAGCGTCTCAGGTCAGCCACGGTCACTGGTGAGGAATGGCACGAGTTTGGCCATGCAGCACCACCTCTTGGTGCTTCCTCAGCTGGATGTGCCTGGGGGGGACTGCCACCTCCCACTTCCCTTGCAGGCATTACCCAAACCCCAAGGTATGCAGGGTGATGGGGACACGGGGGAGAGCGGCGTGCTCCCCTCGGGCTCCCCAGCTTGGTGTTGGGAGCGACTCACACTTCACCAGATCGGTGATGTTGTCCCGGTGCAGGTGCTGGAAGAGGGGGTGTGCGCCCACCTCCCGCCGCCTCCGCTGCCCATTGAAGGCATCGGTGATGGCCCCCAGCAACTCCTTGTTCAGGAACCGGATGACGGTTCCACGGCTGTCATAGGCGAACTCAGACACCACGGCGAAGGTGAAGCCATCACTGTCTGTCCTGCGGGAAAAAGACAAGGATGCTGCTGCATCACAGAGTGGCTGAGCCTCACCATGCCTCAGTTTCCCCATTTGGAGGGGCATAAATAAGGGAGGAGGCACACAGGCATCATTGCTGGAAGGTGTTGTGAGGGTCCTGTGTCCCCATGGGTTTATCGGTGTCACAGCTAGAAAAACAGACCCTGGCTTTCAGGTAAAATACCCTTTCCATTGCAGACCCTGCGGCCCCATGGGCCAGCTCTGCCCCACTGTCTCCCCATGGGTGGGCATGGGGCCACCCCACAGCCTACTCACATCTGGGTGATGTTGGTGTTGCTCTGGAAAGCCTTTACCTCCAGAGACCCCAGGATGGCTGAGACCTGTGGTGGGGAAAGTGAGAGGCGTTAGAGGAGGGCAGAAAGGCACCGGTGCAGGGAGAGGCTGAAGGGAGATGCGGGCACCGTGGCCGAGCCCCAAAAGATGCTCTGGCCTTTCCTTCACACAGTGGGGACATGGCACATGGCCACGGCCACCCCCAGCATCACACACTGCCTCCCTCCAGCCCTGCAGATCCAATGGATTCCCCAGGATCCTGCAGGAAGGGGTGCATCCCCCCACAAAGTCCAGCTTACGGTGCCATTGACTTCCACAGCTGTGGCATTTCGGAGTGTCCTGACCCGCAGCCGGATGCTTCTCTGGGGGAGATCTGTTTGGGGAGAGATGCAGCAGTGGCTCTGGCATCCCAGAGTTGGGGTTCAGCCCCTCCATGGGCCACAGGCACCCACCTGTGCTGGGCAGTGGCCGAAAATCACCCCCCGCCACCAGGCAGCGCCGGTCGGTGAAAGCTGGAGGGCAGGCGCAGGTGGGGGCACAGGTGATGGGGTGCAGGTGGCAGTGTCCCCCGTTGCTGCAGTAGCCCTCGGGGCAGGAGTGGGAGCCACAGGGTGAGCCACAGCCTGGCCCCTCGCCTGCGGAACGGGGAGCCCAGCTCAGGGTGGGGCACAGGCCTGGCTGTGGAGCCCCAGTGCACTCTTCCAATGCCTTTCTTACAAGTTTTGGAGGCTTTTTTTTATCCATTAGGACTTTTAGTATAATTTTAGATCCTGAAGGAAAAGCTCTGCATCCCCTCCTCCCACCTGGAGCCTTTTGCCCCTTGTGAAATCCCAGCCTGCTGCACCAGAATAGGAAAATAACCCATCTCCCCAACCTCACCACAGCCATCTGCAAACAGGATTTGATTTTAGCCCCTCGACCTCTGTGTGTGCATTTGAACTTTGATGGGATGAGATTTTTTTATTATTTTTTTTTTTCTCAAAGAGAGGAATTGCATGGGAAAAGTTTCCCTTCCCAGTGGATTAATGAGATCTGCAGCCTTGGGGACACAAGGGGCAGCTGGACTCCAGTCCCTTCTATTGGGGACAGGAAGGGACTGGGGACAGAGCTTCCCCTCCTCTTCTCTCTGGCCAGTTTGGGTCCCACGGGGGGTGACGGGGACGAGGACCTGCCAGGGTGCCCGTACTCACCCTCCTCACTGCTTGAGCAGGAGCAGGTGTAGCTGCCCACCGTGTTGGTGCAGGTGGTGTTCCCTGGACACACTGTCCCCTGTGCACACTCATCGATATCTGCCGAGACAATGTAACGTGGCACCATGAGAAATACCTCTGCCGGGGGTCCCATGAGCGCTCACCATGGCGAATGACCTCACCTGAGCAGTGCCGGCCGTCACCGGTCAGACCGACTGGGCAGGGGCCGCATCCAGCACGCGAGTCGCAGCCCACACCAGGGAAGCATCCCTGGGCACAGGGGTCCAGTGGGTCCTGGCAGAAGGGTCCTGAGTAGCCTCCCTCGCACCTGCAGGCTGCCAGCTGGGAAGGGGACGGTGACAGCAGCTTAGGGGACATGAGGTGGATGGGTGGGCAGAATGGCTGGCATGGTGTGACACTGGTGAAGCTTTACCAGCACCGTACCTGCAGGGAGGACCCCTCAAGGGTGTTGGTGTCATTGTAGTCACACTCCTGGCTCCTGCTGCAGCTGCAAAGGGTGAAGCGGAGCTGGAGAAGGGCAGAGAGGTTGTTGGACCCCACAGCCTCCAGGCTGACGGTGAGTGGGGCTGTCCCATGGGGCTCCCACGTCAGGGTGCCATTCTCTGTCGAGGAGAGGTGGGAGTTAAGGAGGTAGCAGAAGACAGAGGCCGGGTGGGCAGCATCCCCCCCATCCCATCCCAACTGTCCCATGTCCCCTACCTGATATGTTGAGCTCTGGGGAGAAGTGGGGGATGAAGCGTGCGCCTGCTCCCTCGGCACGGTACTGCCTGCTGACCCTGTCTGTCCTGAAGGCTGTGAGCGATGGGTCACCGGTGATGACAGGAGGGAAGGCATCTGAGGAAAGAGCAGCCCAGCCATTGCTGGTTGGTTGTGACATTGCTTTGGCAACCCTTGGCTCTGAGTACCTTCTGGTGAGGATGGGACCCCAGGCAGATGCTGCCATGACCACACACTGACAAGGCCCTTGTGTTTCACAGCATGGTGGCACCTCGTAGGCTTGGAGACCAGCCAGGCCATGCAACTCAGAGACCTTGGTGAATTGTCCCCTTGCTTCACACGGAGCAGGAGAGCTTTGGGAGGTGAGGACCTGCTCTACTTACTGAGCATTGTCTTCTTCTGCTGGAAGTCGGCCGCCAGGCTCTGAGTGGCCAGGCCCAGCGCCACGTCCCCAGTGCTCAGTGCATCATAGATGCACTCCTTGCTGCCGTGGCACCGCGAAGCCGCCAGCTGGTACTGGCTTTCGTTCTCCTGCCGGAGCCCAGACAAGAAGATGGGTGTGAAGTTCATTACCAGCGAGTCCAGTGGCTGAGCAAACAGGCTGTGCTCTCCAACAGCCCCTGCAAGAGAGCAAATCATGGGTACAGGTCTTGAGTTTCTAAGGTCTGTTATCTTTAAGGACTTATTTCCATGGAGCAGTGAGGAGACCAAAGGGCTTCCCTGGAATCCCTTTTACTCAGGCAAGTGTCTAAATGTGTCCAGCCAAAGCATGGCCTGGGGAGGATCATCAAGGTGGATCCCAAGCCTGGACTTACAGGTCATCCCGTAGCTGTAGATCTCCTCCTCGCTGCTGTTCACGGGGATGCTGGTACCGTTCGGCATCTGGAAGTCATCTGCAGGGTCGTGGTCCCACACACCTGGTGGAGCATCACTAGAGGCCTGGAGTCCCCCATGCTGGGGTTGACCTCCTCTCTGGTGCTGGCCAGTGTTTTGTTTAGACTCAGGGGTCCATGCCCACACAAGCCCTTTCCCTAGCATTTTCCAGCCTGTTTTAAGGTAGGAAGGGGACATTGCACCCAGGCTGTTCAATGGTGGTGCACAAGTCCTCACCCAGGAGTCCCTTGGTGCTGTTGCTGTACCACGGGGGCAGGCTGCAGACCACGCTGAGAATCCTGGAGGTGGCTGAGATGGAGATGGCAATGGCTCCGTCGAAGACTGCTGTGACGGAGGAGGTGTTGACCAGCAGGACACTGGGGCTGTAGTACACCTCGGCACCCATGTCTGCAGGAGAAGGAGAGCACAGAGGGAGAGCCCATGCAAGGCTGGAGTCTGAAATGATGCCCCTGAATTTGGGGAGTCAGAGACATGGTGCAGGGGGAAAATATTTGACAGACCTCAGGATGGCTGACCTCATGCTGGGCAGGGCTGGTCCCTATGGGATGGGGACACCCCGCATCACCCCAAAAACATTTAACAGCACATCCTGCTCACCTTGGGAATAGGAAAACTGGACAGTTTCATTGTTCAGAAGGACTTGGATGTCACCCTTGCTCCCCAAGGTCCACTCAACCTGCAAATCAGGGTGGATGTCCCAGTCAGCCTCTCTGCTCGTCCCTTCCTGCTGTCCTCCCATTCTGGGGACACTCAAGCTAAACCCCTTCCTCCTCTTCACCCCAGCAAACACACAATAAAGCAGCTCTGATGGTTGCCCAGAAGAGGACAGCAAGCTGTCCCCTGTCACCGCTGGCATAGGGCATGCACAGGCCACCACCACTGCTTGGCTGACAGCTTGGCAAGCTGTGTCGGTGGGCTCCAGGCTCAGAGCCCCTTCCTCAATGGCTGCTTCTGGTGACACCAGGAGATTTTGGTTACTCAAACGGGTGTGGGGAGCAATTCTGCAAAGCAAGGAAGAATACACGCTCGTGCCAACATGTCCAGAGGAGATGTGTGGTCAGGATGAAGGTTATGCAACAAAGATGTTGGAGCAGACCACGCTCCTGCAGAGCTCCAGGCTCTTGCTGTCCACCTTGCAAGAGGTGGTAGGGCTGTGTCTTGTTAGTTTTAGTCGAACCCACCACAATTAGCACATTGTTGGGGTCATGGGAGGTGGCAGGAAGAGGAGAAGTGATGCTCCTCAGGTCCTGGCCACTCGTAGGTGATGCAGAGGCAATGCCCAACCTGTCAGAGAGGTCTCTCCCATTAGAAGCTCATACCCAGGCTGCTCCTACTCACTGTGGTGGTGGTTGTGGAGATGTACTGGGCAGCGAAGGCCACAAAGTTGGTGGCCTGGGCTGTGCCAGTCTGGGCTGTGCGCCCCTGCAGCATGAAGCTGGTCTGGGCATTACTGGCCTGCAGCAGGACAAAGTCTCCAAGCCCATTGAAGGTGTAGGTGAGTCCATCCAGGGTGGTGATGTGGGGGTCCCCAAAAGCACTGGCTGGGGTCCAAAGGAGATGGAGCCATTTTGGCAAGAGGAAGAAAAGCAAATGCTGGTGTTGTATGGAGGAGAGCAGCTCCCAGTGCTGAGCTGGACTTGCCAGTCTCCTCTGGGAGGCTGCAAAGCTGTGGCTCTTGTGTGGGGTCCCCATACACATGTGACACCCACTTGGTACCCCAGGGACTCACCGGGGGTGGGTGGCACATATCCCTCGCAGCCAACCCTCGGTCTCTTCTCAGCAAATCTGTCGCAGAACAGGGGCTTCCCCACGTGTCGGCAGCACCAGTCAAATGCCTCCAGTTCCCCATCTGCAGAGAAAAGCAACTGGGAGGTGTGGGGACCCCCAGTGTGCCTGCAGAGTTGCTCAGGGTGTTTTAGGGTGACAGGGCACCCTGTGCCCACTTACCGGCAGCGGGGCGGATAGGGGGGCTCCATGCTCTCTCCTGCCAGCCTTCCAGCAAACTCCCGTCCTGGTACAGACACCGCACCCCAGCTCCAGCCGGGCTGGGGAATGCAGTGCGCAGCATGCTCATGGAGGCATCTGCTGGACCTGAAATGTTGGGTGAGGGATAACGGCCACCCCCAGAGCAGGAGGGGACTCCCTGCTGTCCCCCAACTGCGTGGTTGGCCTTGGGGGCCATGCTTGGTACCTCTGCTTCGGCGGTATTGAGGGTCCAGCTCTGCCTGGGGCTGGGAGCAGGGGCATGGTGGCAAGTGGCCATTCCAGGTGGTCGGTGCTGGCTCCGTGTCCAGCCATGCCAGGCAGCGCAGCCTGTAGTTCACCCGCGAGAGTGTGTCCAGCCTGTATATCCACAGCCCACGCACGTCTGGGGGAGCAACCGGAGAACAGCACAGCTGGGCCGGGGTCTCCCATGGGACAACCACCCCAGCAATTGACCCCACACGAGGTCTTCAGGCTCCCTCTAGAGCCGGCATGGCCGTGGGAAGCCACAGCAGGATATGGGACACCAGTGCTCTGCTGCTCTTGGTGGCCAGCCTTGGCCTGGTGGCCTTGCAGGGATATGTGATGGGGACACGCTCCCAGGGCAGAGCTCCCACAGCTCCCTCCATCCCCATCCACCCTGAGGGCTCCCCTGGGGCCGTACCAATGCCAGTGCTGCTGTGCTGGTCAGGTCGGTACTTGACAGCCGGGGGCTTTTGAGTCAGCTCGTTATTTTGGGCGTAGCCATCACCGCTGTGTGGAGAGAGAAGGCTTGTGGTCACCCTCCTGCTGCAACCCTCTTCCGCTCCCCATGGAGGAGCTGGGGCAGGAGCTGCTGCGGTTTGCAGGAGGAAGGGTTTAAACAAGACAGGGTTGCTCTGGGGGTGGAAGCTGGGCTCTCTGGGGACAACATCGCTGATGGTCCCAACATAGTTCCAAAATGCAGCCACACGTGCACAGCACCTGGAGAAGCCGATGAGGACATTGTCTGCCGCCAGGCCAGCGTAGTCCCACCGCATCCCACCATCCTGGTAGAGCAGCAGGGCGAAGGAGCGGCTCCCATCAGTGGTGAGGACCACCTGGTAGGTGCTCGTCTGGAGGAAACCAAAGCACCTTCACTTTAGCACTCCCAAAACCTTCCCTGCTCTCCCCATGGCACAAACTGAGGTGGTGAGACCCAAAACGCCCACATCAAGCATCAGGATACCAGCAGTCTTGCCCCTGCCATTGCTGGTGGCCGTCACCTGCTGCTCACCTGAGTGTCATCCCGCCGGGACGGGTACGCTGGAGCCTTCTCCCATGTCACCTTCAAGGTCCATTTTGCTACGTAGGGGGTTTTCAGGTATTTCTTGATCTTTGTTTCCACATCATGGACAAGGGGGTCTTGGGTAGAGCTGAGCGTGGAGTACTCCTGCCGGTTGACAAGAGAGAGGGTTCAATGGGTGAACTGGGAGCTGGGTTCTCCCTGAAGAACATCTTTGGTGGCTCCAACCTGGTACCAGGTGGTGCCGACACCCTGGGAGAAATCCGCATCGTCCCAAAAGGCAGCCACCATCGGCAAATGCTCCTGGCCGCTGAAGCCCCAGGGAGGTGGGTTGGGGTTGGAGGGGATGTAGTTGTCCGTGGGTGGGAAAATGATCTGTCCGTTATCTGTAAACTGACCAAAATAACTCGTTATTTGCCAATGCTCCAGGCAGCTCCTGCCTGGCCCATGTGGCTTTTAGCCTCCTTGGGCAAGCAGAAACCTGCAATTTTAAACTGCAAAATAAAATTAACATTGGGATGAAATTCAGTTTCTGCTTCATTTCAATGAGTGCTTTTCTACCTTACGTGCTTGGCGAGGGGGGAACTCACGTAGAGAGCATCCCGCAGTGATTTCCCAAAGGGGAACCCGATCTCTGGCTTGAACAGGGGGGAGTTGAAGTCCACCGTCCTCTGGACACACTCTTGGTCCCCTCTGTCTGCGCCGAAAGGATAGAGTGAGGCTGCTGGCACTGATGCGGACAAGAGATTAATTAATGAAAATCAAGTAATTCATGAAAAACCATTAATGTCTGTGTCCTTCCTGCTCTTTGCTTTGGGAAGAAGAATATCTACTTACTGATAGGCCCATGGGTGGGTCGGGGCTCAGGGGCAGGATTTCTGTGGCCAGTGGTGGTGTGGGCAGATGTCCTTGGTGCTGTGGCTCTCTGTGTCCCAAAGGCAGGAGCCAGGGGGGTGGCAGGGCTCACGGTTGCTGGTGGCCTCCCTGGTGACACAGTGCCTGGGGCTGAGAGACCTCCCATCTCCTGGGCTGGGCTCACTGGGGCTGCGGGTGCAACAGCCACGGGGCTACCTGCAGTGGTGGCCGTGGTGCTTCCTAAGGCCGCGATGATCCCTGTGGCAATGGACGTGGTGTTCCTTGCAGTGGTGGCTATGGTGCTCCCTGCAGCAATGGCTGTGGTGCTCTCAGTAGTGATTGTTGCATTACTCCCTGTGGTGATGGCTGTGGTGTTGCCTGCAGTGATGGCTGTGGTGCTCTCAGCAGTGATTGTTGCATTACTCCCTGTGGCGATGACTGTGGTCCTCCCTGCAGCAATGGCTGTGGTGCTCCCTATGACCTTGGTTGCATTACTCCCTGTGGTGATGGCTGTGGTGTTGCCTGCAGTGATGGCTGTGGTGCTCTCAGCAGTGATTGTTGCATTACTCCCTGTGGCGCTGACT